AAATAATTTTATGGTTGGGGGTCACCACAACATGAGGAACTGTCTGAAAGGGTCGCGGCATTAGGAAGGTTGAGAACCACTGCATTAGGAGGTGTAGCTCCGGGTCCTGGGTCCACTCTGGGGCTCTCACCCAACTCAGGAGGCTCCGCTCCCTTATCTAATATCGCCTTTTACATCCCGTGGTCACTGAATCACAGAAGCAGAAAGAGACTGAAGAGAGAGGAGAAGGACCATGTGGACCAGCTCCCCTTCTGAGTGTCCAGGGAAGGAAGGGCTGGAAGAAGTGGTGTTGGGTATCAGGAGGTCCTGTGTTCTAATCACAACTTCTGCCACAGATTACCAGTAGATGAAGCATGTCATCTTCCCTGGACCTTAGCCCTCCCTCCCTTTGAGGACATTTTTAAAAACAAAATAATATCGTACAGGTGCATGTTTATTTTTTCATAAATATATATTTAGCCCTGGCCTGTGTGGCTCTATGGTTAGTCTGCAAAGGGTCACAGGTTCGATTTCCCACTCAAGGGCACACAGTTGGGTTACAGATTCGATCCCTGATTCCTGGCCCTGCTCTGGCTCATGGGGTTGGTAACTAATTAATGTGTCTCTCTCACATCGATGTTTCTTCTTTCTTTCTTTCTTTCTTTCTTTCTCTCTGTCTCTCTCTCTCCCCCTCCTTCCCTCCCATTCTCTCTAAAAATCAATGGAAAAATATCCTTAGGTGAGTATTATGTTATATATATAATATATTTCCTTAAAATATATTTATAAGATACTTATATATTTTACATTTAGAAATATATTTTTAAATGATTACGTAAAACATTTGTATTGGTGAAGGGAAACATTTTATCTCTCTCTTATTTTTTTATTGATGAGAGTATTAAAGATCTCCTGCCCTCCCTCCCCCCATTGTTCCCCTCCACCCAGTTCCCGCTCCACCCCAGGCCTTCACCACCCTATTTTCTGTTTCCATTGGTAATACATATATACATATAAGATCTTTGGTTAACTTCTTCCTGCCCCCACTTCCCTTCCCTCTGAGATATGTCAGTCTGTTCCATGTGTCCATACTTCTGATTCTGTATTATTCAGCAGTGTATTTTGTTCATTAGATTTCTTGTTTATTTTGATTTTTAAATACAATTGTTGATAGATTTGTATTTACTGCCATCTTATTGTTCATATTTTTTATCTTTTTCTTCTTCTTCCTCTCTTAAAGAATACCCTTCAATATTTCATGTAGTGCTGGTTTTGTGGTGATCAACTCCTTTAGCTTTTTCTTGTCTCTGAATTTCAATTCTCTTTATCTGAACTTCAATTCTA